AATGATACCCCTTGTTCCACGTCCTCTTCTGAATCAGCCATTTTCTCAAGAGGCAATAAAAAGATACTCTTAAAAAGTAAGAACTGAGAAAATATCTATCTTCTTTGGATGAAACACATATTTTCCTCCAGACTGTGACTTGTCTTTCTATTTCACACACAGTGGTTTTGTGTTTGTTCATTTGTTTGCTTGTTTGTTTGTTTGAAGAACAGATGTTTTAAAATACAGTGAAGTTCAACTTATCAATTATATTTTTTGTGGTTTTTACTTTTTCGTGACATAATAAAGGAAGATACATCAAACAAAAGAGTTGCAGTAGTATAAATGTGGCAATAAACAGGTGTCCACTAGCGTATGTTACCTTTGTGTGTATTCGGAAAAAGGAAACTTCTTTTTAATTATTTTTAACCTGCCCAGAACAAAAAGATCTATATAGAACAGATGGAAAAAAGATGCTGATGTTAAGTGCTGTCGAGTCAGGTCTGACTCATGGTGACCCTGTATAAGGTTTCTAAGGAGTGGTTGATGAGTTTGAACCACTGTCCTTGCATTTTGCAATCTAGTGCAATCCTACAGCACCACACCAGAACTCCAGAAAGAGGATGGTGGTGGTGGTGGTTGTGTGCTATGGAGTCAGTTCTAACCCATAGCGAGCCTGTATAGGGTTTCTTTACAGGAACAGAAAGCCTTATCTTTCCCGTGGAATGACTAATAGATTCGAATTACTGGCCTTTCAGTTAATAGCCCAACTTGTAACCCACTCGACTTCCAGAGCTCCTTGGAAAGAAGATAAGACAGAATTATTCCAGTGATTATCACAGATAAATTAATTACACTGAGCACTGGGAGTTAACAGTTGTTGACTTCTGCTCTGCCACAAATGTAAATAAGTAATTATTTTTCCTGCTCCTGCCAATGATGTGTTTAATCACATCTGAAAAGGTCAGGGAAGAAAAGTTCATTGGTTTATATTAAAAATACTTTGGAATAAATACTACTTTTATTTAGACTTTAAATTTTATTTTATTTTATCAAACCAAGTATATGTGATTTAAAACATTAAATAAAAGTTGTCTCTAGTAGCATAGTGGTTACCAATCAGGATGCAAACCTTAAGGCCAGCAGTTTAAAACTACCAGCTGTTCTGCAGGAGAAAGATGAGGCTTTCTGCTCCCGTAAAGGTTTACAGCCTTGGAAACCATGTACAGGGTCACTATGAGTTGGAACTGACTCCACGACACATAACCACCACCACCACCTTTACCATAAAGGATGGGGACATGGAGACAGGGAGCAGCTGAGGACTAGATTCACGGGAAGAGAGGGACTAAGATCTGGTGACCAGGAGGCAGAATTGCAGAATGTGCCCTTTGGTTTGTAAATTATTATATATGCCTGAGTGTTTAAAAAATAAAGAGCTAGAGTGAATAGAGAGAAATGCTGTTAACTGATGGTACATGGTTGGGATTATAATCATTGTAGTAAAACCAGGTGTATGATTTATTGAATGTAAAACTGATGATCTGCCCTGTAAACTTTCACTCAATCCACAATAAAAACTTAGGGAAAAAAAAAATCTATCATGCGGGGTGGGGGTGGGGGGTGGGGCTAGGGGGGGAGGGTAGAGGGGAAGGTTGTCTATAAAGTAAAAAAACATATTAACTTGTATTTTTATAGATTGAAGATGTTCTTGACAACATTCTGTGTGGCTGTTATTATTTTAGACTTTATGAACATCCTGTCGTTTCTAGATGGTGCAAACTGTTTACGTGCTCACCTATTAACAGAAAGGTTGGTGATTAAAGTCCTCCCAGAGATGCCTTAGAAGAAATGCCTGCAGATCTACTTCTAAAACCTAGCCATTGAAAATTTTATGGAGCACAATTCTAGTCTCCATGAGTCATGAGGTAGAGTTAACTTGACAACAGCTAACAACAACAGCTACGATTTTCTGAATGTCTAACATGGTGATGATAGTGGTAGTTATGTGTCGTGAAGTCGGTTCCAATTCATATCAACCCTGCACAGGGCTCCCAAGGCTATAAATCTTTACAGGAGCAGAAAGCCTCATGTTTCTCCCAAGGAGCAGTTGGTAGTTTCAAACTACTGACTTTGCACATACTTACCCTCCCCCATTCTTCCATCACAGATATAACACAGTCTGTTCAGAGCGTTATACATGTGTGAACATTCTCCACAGCTGAACTATGTGTGGACAAAAGAATTGTTCTTCTCAATGTACGCTTGCTTCCCTGAAGCTAATGTGTACCTTGTTTTTTCTTGTCTTAGTGGTGCTGTGGGTTAGGTGTGGGGCAGCTAATTGCAAAGTCTACATTTGGAAGCCACCAGCTGCTCTACAGTCTGCTTCTGTAAAGACTTCCAGCCTCGGAAGTGCGATAGAGCAGTTCTACTTTACTCTCTAGAAGGTCCCTAGGCATTAGAGTTGCCTTTATGACTGTAGGTTTTGACTTTTGTTGTGTTTTGTTTTTGCAGCAAGTCGAGGTTTCTCTGTTAGGATAACTCCATCGTCCATCTGTTTTCCAGATTCTAAAATGTGCTACTGTCATAGGTTCTCCAAACCCCTTTGTCCATACAGCTTTTATGTAACTTTATCCCTTTCCTGTTTGTTAAGTGGTGCTTTAGAAGGAGAAAAGGATGACTAGCCTGTTAAGCAGAAGTCCTTCTCTGTGTTGCTAAATGGCCATGGTTGGAAGACCTCTGCTGAGGACAGGCCAGTCAGCCAGGTGGGCCCTATGCACAGGGCAGAGTGGCATCATCTAACCTGACAGAGACCTGATCAGTGAGACACTGGTGTTCTCTCATCTGCTCAGATCCTATTGTTTTTGTAATTAGAGAAAATGCCGGCTTAGGTAAACAGTAAGTGGATTTAAGAACTGCAAGAAGGATATGGCAGCTAGCTGATGCCCAACCCCCTTACCTTTATGGCGGCGAAGCAGAGCATATGGAGAGCAGCGGTGGCCATGCAGCTCCGGGTCACGCCGTACACAGCCGACAGCACCCCAGACACTGCTGTAAGGCAAACATGCACAGGTCAGGCCTGGGTGGACGCTCCCCAAAGCAACACGTGTTGTCACGCAGTAGAGAGAGGCTGCAGTTTTCATATACAAAACCCCTGTCAAGACACAACTAGAAACTCTATGGGGTCAGACAAAAAACATTGACTGAGTATCAGCACAAGGAAATGCTGACCAGTATGGGTCAATGTGGAGTGCTGATGTGGTACTGCTGGGTAATGCACTGGACCACAAGGTCAGTCTGAACCACAAAGTCAGCAGTTCAAACCCACCAGCCACTCCTCAGGACCCTATACAAGGTCGCTATGAGTCAGAACCAACTTGATGGCACTAAACAATCACAACAAGATGTGTCAATGTGGATGTGAGGAAGGAAAAGGTCATAAACAGCAATTTTCAAAGAAGGAGAAAATGAATGAGAGAGAGAAACACAAAGAAAATATACACAATCAAGTGTGTATGTGTGCATGTTCTATAAATGTGTGTGCCTGGGAGTGTGCTTGGTTATGCTTGAACAATTACACTGCTTGTGCACACATGTGTGTACTCATGTATGTGTCTGTGTAATGGGCTGGCTGCTGTTAGGAGCCATTGAGTTGGTTTGGACTCACAGTAGCCCTTTGAAGGAAATATTGCCCCCAATGGCACCAGCCCCACAATTGTTCTATTGGAGTCCATTGTTGCAGCCACTGTGTCAGCCCATCTCAGTGAGGTTCTGCCTCTTCTCTGCTGTACTTCAGCATCTGCTAGGTTTTGGTGCTCTATACATACGATCTCATTTAGTTCTCACAGCAATTCTATAAGTTCAACATAATTTCCTTTTTGAGAAGAGTAAGCTGTAAAGTTATGCAATCTGCATAAAGTCTCCGATGTTAGATGTGATTTAAATCCAGCTTAGTCTAGATCTAGTGTTCTGGATACTAAACAACATGAAAGTCATAATAATGGTTTTGTGAGAGAGATCCCCTGCCTGCAATACACACACACAACCCACACTTACAATGTCTCACACACATAAGTGTGTGCTCACACTCACCTTCACAAATGCACACCTAGACTAGCTCACCCATATCCCTGCTCAAATACATGCTCACACACACTTACACCCACACACATTCATTCATACTAAGTACTTTTCAAAACAGTAGTTAGAAGAGTCCTGTAATAGTTAGAGCTTTGCGTCAGCTTGATTGGGTTGGTTTGGTAGTTGAGATGTGCTTATTTCCAGGGTGATGAAACCTAATACAGGCATAGTTAACTCTATGATGAGTGGCTATGAACAGTCGATAAATTGAAAGGATGTTTTCTTGGGGCTGTGACCTGCTCCCAATATAATGGACTCACAGGAAATACTCGCTGTCTTCCAGCAGGGACCTAGAACTCTACAACTGTTAGCCATTTCCTTGATAATAAATTTCTCTGTCTGTCTATCTATCTATCTATCTACACACCCACAGATATGGTTCACTGGTTTTACTTCTGTAGAAAACCTGACCTAAGACAAACCCCAAACCTATTTCAAAACTCAAGGTTCTATATTTCCCCAGTTGTCTTTGATTTTGCTTTCCCTCAACTACAAAGCTAAACAGACCACTCTCCATCTAGCTGAATGAATGAATACAAGATCAACTGAACTGACCAACACTGAGTTCATTTTTAAATTTTGAGTTCATTTTAAGTGGTCTGTTTAGTGTTGTAGTTTAAATGCTTAGGACAAAGAAAACCTAATATGCTAAACTCTCATTCCATGGTCAAGGTTACATCACCATTATCTCAATTTCAGATTCTTTTATAGGAGAAATAGAATGTAAATGACTTACCAGAGCCACCAAAAAACAGCATGTCAATTTGCTCCAAAAGATAAATGCAGAAAGTGTTGATCTGTGGGAAAAGCCCAAGGAGGGAAATTGCAGGAAAGCAATATAAAAACACTGGAAGTGAAAAAGCAAAATTGACAATAAGTATGTCGTTCCTGCTGCAAACTTGTCCCCTCTCAGGTTGTCCCACCCCACCAGAAATGCTGTTTCCATTGTTGTCAAGTGATGTTAAGTGGGTGCCAACGCATAGCAAGCCTGTTGGAGGTTTCCAAGGAGCAGCTGATGAGTTTGAACTGCCAACCTTGTGCTTCACAGTCCAGTGCTGATTCTACAGTGCCACATCAGGAATACTAGAAGTTACACTAAGCTCCTTTTACCAGGAGGAACATCTGGAAGCTGAGATGAAATCATGCCTTATCGCAATCAGGAAGAAACTGATATGCAGGTGGATATGCAGATGTCCTTTTCTGACAAAAGGAGCATCTGCATATCCAAAACTGTGCACAGACTTCAAAGACGGTGAGTAAAAGAATACACTGGTTTTGAGTTTGAGAGGATAGACTTGGATCTGGAGGATAATTGTTAGGAGAATATCTTCCTACATCGGAGAGGTAACCAAAGATTGGAGATAAGGGTGATTCTTGCTTATTACTCAGTAACTGTGTACACTTGAGTTACTGAGAGTTGACTTACTACATTCTAAGCACTGGTTGAAAATTCAGAACTGAAACTCTAATAGAGGAGTGAGGGAGAGTGGTCAGTAAACAAGGAACTACAATATACAGTGATGGAGACCCAAGGACTGAGGCAGGGAAGATGGTGTTGCCTCCCATAATCATAAAATAAAATTGTGCAATTGGCTAAAATACTTGTAAATGATAATCCAATGCTTGACAAAGATGATTTCTTAGGAAGGGAGAGGAAAAAGTAGTAATACAGCTATGTTTTACAGCAATTTCCTGATCACACTCATTTTCAATTCTATTTAAGTAGCGTTTCATAGAAACCCCATTGTCAATGCTATAATGCATCTTTCATCCTTTCTAACTCAGTTTAGAGTTAGAATTAATGAAACTTGATACTGGTAAACGTGAATAAAACTAAGGAAATTTGATTTGAAGTCCAGTGTGCCTCCTATACATTGAAACTGTTTTAGAACACTATACATAAAAATACAAACTATACATAAATATCCAAGGAGAACAATGGGAGTAGAAATGGATGACAGGGGAGAGTGTTTCATCAATTTCCAAAGAAGTAGAAAATGCAAACTTTCTATAGTGAAATTTTAGGAATGATGACAGGTGTATGCTTCATTCGTGTTTCAATAGTTGCTTACCAGTAAGTGGGGCTACAGTCATGTTTGGCACAAATGTTTTGCCTGCATTGTGCTTCAATCACCTCTGCAGTCAGTAACACCCACCTGCATAACTCTATAGTTGGCAGTGAGCCCTCTTGCAGAGAACGCCAAGAATCCACTGTCACCAGATTCCATGGCTCTTGCTCACACCAGGACTGTGCCACATTCCTTTTTCTCTTTTATTCTCTTTCATTCTTCCTAGTTCCTCCCTCTCTATCTCCCTCTTGGTTTTTTTCTTTATTTTCTTCTTCCCCCTATTTAGTTTCCTTTTTTCTCTTTTTGATTGATTCTGCAGAGTGGGCACCTTGCCCCCACTACCTCCGTGGTCAGCCTCTGTAGGAAGTATGTGATCCTATGAAGTGAGCACTATGCCTCCCATCACTTACACAGATAGCAGTTGCCACACCCACACCCACCCCTCCTGTTTTGACAATAAGCATCCCACAGAGAGAGCTTTATGCTCTCATTACAGCTGTGTTTGGTGGCTAGTTTTTGTGCTAGTACTGTGCTGCTTCTTTTCCCTTTTTTCATCATTTTTTCTTACTTTGTAGCTCTTCCCTTCTCCCCCACTTACCTTTCTTCTTGCTCTTTTACTTTACTCCATCCCCACATCAGTCAGATGTCAACAACCCTACCCAGTCATATCTGTCACTGCACCCACTAATTGAGTTCCATCGACAAATTACAGAATGACTAGATTGATGACAGAGAGAGGCCGACACCTGCCCAACCTGCCCTCCACTGCTCCACATGACCAGCAGTCAAAAACTCATACTGACACTCCCAAGCACAATCAAATTCACCTAGACACAAGTGCTGAGGGCCCCACTATTGCCAAACTAGCAACTTCTTATTGCCCAGATATATTAAAAGAGAACAAAACAAAAATCAAAGTGAAGTAAACCAACATATTATCAACAAATTAATATAACAATACAAAAATGTCTCCAAGACAATATAAAACTGTAAGTCAAACACAAAAATTACAGGACAAGATGGAGCAAGCAAGTGAAGAAAATATGGAACCAGAAAATTTTCTCGAGGAAGAAATGTTACTGGAAGTAACTAATAGGGAATTCAAAAGATTGAAACTTGGATTCTTTCAGGTAATTAAAAAAGAGATCAAGGAGAGAATAAACAAGATGGAGGACCAGGTGGAAGTGTTGTAAAGAGCTCTGCCAGCAACAACACAGAATAGCCAACCAAGCAGGCTCAGAGGATGGTCCCAGAACTCTGAACCACATATAAAGGAATATTTAGAAGGTTGGAAGGCTTA